TTTAGATTATTCTTTTTATGTACAGTGCCCTGAGACAATGTATGTTGTGACTTGGCGCTATATAAATAAACTTGAACTTGAACAAATTAGACAAAGCTATAACTGTTTGAATTGACCAGTTTGCCACAGATGATCCCACCTTTCAAATCAGACCAATTAAAAACTAACACAAGTTCAGCCACAAAACAGTTTCCCACTTTGCCTCAGTACATTTTAATTTTTCAATATTAGCATTATGCTCTAATGACTTTTTCAGATTGTGTGTAAGCAAAATAATGTATGCTTGTATTTATGTTAATGAGTGGAACACAATTTGTAAAAATTCATTTTTGTTCTTGTATTTCAGTTTTACTTCAGAAAAATGCTCAAAATGCATCAGCTGCCTCCTGGGTGTTTGTTTGGGAAACTGTTTAGCTGTCTGCCAAGCTAAACGGCACAAAATCTAAATGATGTAGTMTATGTGTCCAAAAGAGCCCGGTCCTGTCTATAAGACTCACCTGAACTTCAACTGAAAAATTGCACCCACACATGAAAAGTAAAATAGGATAAGCTATGTGTTTTAAATTTATTTTATTGAATATTGATGTATTCTACATTTTTACTATTTCAAGCAGAAATAGTGGGAAAAATAAAATGTCTGTTTTTAAGTGTCACTATCAGATTCCTTTAGATTTTTTTTCTTTAAGAAACATTCAGTTAGAGTCCCAAAGTGACATATTAAAATTTTCTTGGTTACTTTGGCMGGTGGTTTAAAACACAAAGGTGTTCATTTTAAATAATAAAACAGAGATGTTAAAACCCACTAATGGTGGCCTTTTTCTTTATTGATTTGATTTAAAAAAAAATAAGACAAATTGCTTTTCATTTCTCACCACAGATCCATGGAGATTTCTTTGTACATTTTTGCTCCACAGATTTAGCTCCAACGCATTTCCAAAATAACAGTTTCCAGTGGTTAAACTCTACGAAATGTTAAAAATGTTACTCCAGAGGCTTGTTCATTTAAAATTCTCACCCTGCTGACATCAAACCATGTTACACGAGACTCTGCTTGATCATTTCTTTCTCTCCTATCAGCATAAATTTACTTTTTTCCATCCTCTGCCTCACGCACAGCCTTGATAGGTTTCCAAGCTTCCATGAAACAACAACGCTCTAACTGTCTGTGGCAGCRAACCAGTGACAGGAGAAGACAGGAGGACATGGAAGGATGAGGAAAACGGCTCCCGGTTTTGCCGTTTCCAGGCCCAGCTGTTTTCAAGTGGAAGCATGCTGAGGCCTGTGACAGTGTTCTGAAATGGTTACAAGCTTGATTCATTATCCCCAAATCATCAATCACAGCCCTTAAATGTTTTCCCCTTTAGCCCCAACATCTGCAACTGCACCGGCAGAACAGTCAACGAATAATGGCTGTGATTGCCTCAATTTTATCACTAGCTACATTTGGGGGTCGGAAACAAGGAGATCTGATGCTGCAGTTTGCAGTAAATGTTGGTCAATTGTACTGAATGAGCTCAGAAGAGAGGAGGAAAGTTATATTGACCAATAAGCATAACAGTAGGAGGGTGTGCTCAGATAAATGAAGGAATACTGTAATTATCCTCTATAAAGCAGGGGTTTCTCGTAAGCCCCACTGCAGATGTGAGAATAAGATCAGACCTATAACCGCTAAACAGGAAAATAAGTTACCTCTGACTGGAAGCGTGACTCACTTTCTGCTTTACAAGTGTTAATAACTGGATGCCTGCCCACTCTGGATGCCAACCTGAAGCTTGCAGCATCTTTGCCAAGCAATCCGGTCAAAAACAGAAAGAAGCCAAGGGTTAAAAAAAGCCAAATCTCAGAGCTCCCATCTGACATCAAGTTGAGCATCGTTGCACGCTCCCAGCAACAGAAAACAACGGGGAGTCTGAACGAAACACAAAACAGGAACAGATGTGCCCATAAACAGAAGCTACAGGGCATCTTTTTTTGTCTTTTCAGATTGTCGTAACTCATTTGTTTCTCTTGTTCCGAATCCAGTGTGGTTTTGACTTTTTAWAGCGGCCAAATTCATCAAACAGAAAAATTTAAGTTTTAAGTGTGATGATTTATAAAACGACGTGCTTGTAAATGTTTCGCACTTTTTTCATGACATGAAGRTTAACACGACTGTAATGGAATACGAGCGAAACAGAGCTGGAACAGTTCCTTTACAAAATCCAAACAAACTCAAATGTCTCAGCTGTTGATATAATTTATGCATAAGAAATTACAGGTAAGTGACACAGCGAGTGCAGTTTGTTTGACCAAAGGCAGAATGATTTTCATTGCTCAAGAGCACAAAAGTACATCTGCGGGAATGTTTTCATGGCTGCTGATTACCACCAGTGACTCGGTGATTACTTTGCCAGGTGCTGGAATTACTTGTGGCCAGAACATACAAACTTACCTCTTCTGTTTTGGAGCATTTAACATTTTGAGGCAAAGTGGATCTTTTCCAAACACGTTTTAAATCTTGGGCACAGATATGGAAATGTCACACAAGCAGTTTGATGAGACCTGCAGTGTGAACGTAGCCAAAGGTGCCAACAAGAGAAGCACATTTAGATTTAACACGTGATGTAACACCTTTAGTGTATTGGTTGTTATTCATTGTCAGTTTGCAGTTCTATACGATACAAGTAAAAATCACCTAAAAATAATGGCTTCATGTACAGAACAAAGGAAGATGATCTTGCTCATTTTCACTACAAGATGGAAACTACCTGACCCATCAACAGCGAAGGCAACAACAGAAAGACACTAAAATTAACCTCAGTTGGGCAAACATGTCCTTTGGATAAACTTATTATTGCCTGCAGCCAGTGGTGGGCATAGCTAACCAAAAAGTCATCTTAGCTAACCCCCAACCCACTACCTAAAAAAAAAAGACTTTTTGGATTCCCAGCTATTCAGTTACATGTCAAAAATTAGCAAACGTTAAACCACTAAACAGGCCCAAAAAATGGTGGAACGCTAACTGATTACCACCAACTGAAAATCTGATATTTAAACATAAATGTGTGGTATCCACAAAACTGCTAACCAAGGGCAAAGATCTATGGGATAAATCTTGTGTCAATAGGAATTGAATTTGAATTGCTCAGATTGAATCTGAATGTGCATAATTTGAAATTGAATGCATTGTTTGAAAACAAATTTCACTAAATTTAAACTGAATTTAAAGTTATGAAACTGAATTTAAAGTTTTGTGTCTGAATTAATTTGCTTTGAAACTGTATTTTGGTTTATTAAAAAAATTCAGTTTGACTACTTTCACTTTCRGTTCCAAAATTCAGATTTTAGTGTCGCACATCCTGGTCCTTGAGAAAGTCAGCCAGAGTAATCAAACACAGATCCACCGTAAACATGACAAAAACAGACAATTGTTTTATTGCAGTGATTAATTTTACCTTTAGAAAATGTTACATTTACACCACATCATGGATCAGTCAGCAGCAGCATCTGATCAATATGTGATCCATGATGTGATGTAAATGTAACATTGTCTACATAAAGGTAAAATTAATCACGGCAATAAAATAACTTTGACTGTTTTTGTCACTTTTACRGTGGATTGCATCAACTCTGTTACATACAGAAGGGAARCTTCACCAAAGTGAAACATAAATCTGTGGATCTGTGTTTGATTACTCTGGCTGGCTTTCTCAAGGACCAGGATGTGTGACACTAAAATCTGAATTTTAGAACTGAAATTGAATTATGAAAGTAGTCAAACTGCATTTTTTATAAACCAAAATACAGTTTCAAAGCAAATTAATTCAGATACAAAACTTTAAATTCAGTTTCAAATCATTAAATTCAGTTTCAATTTAGTAAAATTCTTTTTCAAACCAATGCATTCAATTTCAAATTATACACATTCAGATTCAATCTGAGCAATTCAAATTCAGTTCCTGCTGGCACAAGATTTATCCCATAAAAGACTTCTGGCTCACCAATWGTGTGAACCCACAATTCTGCAGGTTCTTCATCTTCATCCTCCTCTGGCTCTGGGTCAGACTCTGGCTCCAACATGTAATACTGGACGGACAAGTCTTCCCTTGTTGACGTCTTTTAATTAAATTGCAAATAAAAAGTTTCTGTGCCGCTAGACACAGAAACTGCTTTCAAACTACAAAAATGTCCGAACAAGGAGAAGTGGACAAAGATAGTTGGGTGTGAGGGATGGAGGGGGGCAGGGTGTAAAGCCCCTCGTTTGCATTTAAAGAGACAGCAGCAAAACGAGTTGCTCTCAGACGCACCTCAGATGGGTGATGGAGGGGCTTGTGGAGTTACAATAAGGAATTCAAACTAAAGCATTTCAGTTCCACTTTATAAAGACCCCAAATGAATGATTTAAATGTGCAAAAGAAGGATTTAAAACCATGATATGTCTCCTTTAACGTTAGCAGATTTAAGTGGAAG